ATAGACTAATACAACCACTATGGAAATCAGTGTGGAGATTCCTAAAAACATTAAAACTAGAAATTAGATTTGACCCAGCTATTCCCCTTCTAGGTATCTTCCGAAAAGAGTTAAAAACACCATACCATAGTGATGTATGCATACCCATGTTTATAGCAGCATAATTCTTAATAGCTAAATCTTGGAAACAGCCAATATGTCCATCAACAGATGAATGGATTAAAAATGTAGTATTTTTACATAATGGAATACTACTCTGGCATAAAAAGGATAAATCTGCATCATTTGTAGGAAAATGAATGTACCTTGAGACCGTAATGTTAAGTGAAGTAACTCAGACATGCAAACCTAAATATCGTATGATTTCTCTTAATTGAAAAGTATACACACACACACACACACACACACACATGCAAAATGAAACACAGATAATAGGAAATAAAAGAAAGAAAAGAAGGTATTGTCATCCTGCACAGATAATATATCTAAGAATGTAACTTGATTTAGTACAACTATCTTACATCTTTTGTGTGTTCTTTGGTCTATTAGTCTGGTTTTCAATCTGTATATATGACAATTAACTTTATAAGGTCTTATAAATAAATAGATGAATCTGATGCTGGAGAAATTAAAGAGTAGTAGAGGCAAAGGGTAAAAATAGGAGAATTAAAATGTGTTTAAAATGTGTTATGTACATGTACCAATCCCCTGCAGTGAATGCAGGCATTATGTACTGCAAATACGTACCAATAAAAGTAAAAAATTGTGTAAAAAAAAAAAAAAGAATAATGAATAGAAACTTATGTTCAAATAATAAAATATATTGCAAACGTACAAGTATTGAAATAATACTCCAATGATGCACAGTGACAAAATCAAACCATATAGAAAGTACTATCATTTTCTATCTAATTCATTTACTATCCTGTGCCTATCCTGTGCCAGGAACTATTCTAGGCTCATTAAACAGAGAGGAACAGAAAAATGAAGTTTCTACTGATCTAAGTCAATGAAAAAATATGATTAAAATACAGTTTCAGTAGAAAAATAATAGATTATCCAATAAATGATATTGGAATCACTGGATAATCATTGAACTAAAGTTACATTCTTACATCTAACTTCGCTAAACAAAATTAAAATTCAAAAGAGAAAAAAAGTCATAAAGCTCTTGAAGAGGATATAATTGAAAAGTTAGTCATCTATTATTGGAAATGGAAGGGTCATTATTTTTGTTTGTTTAACCAAAAATAAGTCCCCCCAAATGATATGCATTTGACAATTTGAAAATAAAGCTTCTTAGTATAGGAAAGACTATAAAAGCGATTTAATGATAAACAATAAAATGAGATAATGTACATGCTATGGTTTAAATGTTTGTGTCCCCTCCAAAATTCATGTGGAAATTTAATCCCCAATACAACAGTGTTAAAAGGAGAAGCTTTTAAAGAGTGATTATGCTGAACAGGATTAACACCTAATAAAGGGTTTATGGGAGTGAATTTACCCCTCATTTTTCTTCCATTATGCTAGGACACATTTGTCCCTTCTAGAGGATGCAGTGATAGACATCATTTTGGAAGCAGAGGGTAGGCCCTTTTTAGGCAACAATGCATCCAGCACTGTGGTCTTGGACTTCCGGGCTCCAAAAATGTGAGAAATATATTTTCTTCCATATAAATTACTCAGTCTCATGTATTTTGTTATCACAACAGAAATGGCCTAAGATAATATCCAATTTTATAAATTAGAAAAGGCACTAGTTTACTTAAGTGAAAAAGTTTTCACATAAGAGAATGAACAGCCAAAGACTAGGAGAAAGTATTTATAAAACATTTATCACATAAAGTACTGGTATCCAAAATACACAAAGAATTCTTAAAAATCAACAGTAAAAATAACAAAGCCAACTTAAAAATGGACTAGAAAACCAAATAGATACCTCACCAAAGAAGATACAGATAGCCAAAAGTCTATGAAACATGCTCCACATTATGTCATTAGGAAATTGCAAATGAAATTTTAAAAGACGACTATACAAAAAATAAACCGACTATACTTCTATTATAATGGCAAAAATTTAAATCACTGACAAGAGCAAGTGCCAATGAAAATGTGGTACTACATGGACTTTCATTTATTGCTGATGGGAGTGCCACATGGTACAACCACTTTCAAAAACAATTTGGCAGTTTCTTATAAATTAAAATTAAATAGACTCTTAATCATATGATCTATAATCATGATCACTGCTATTAACATCATGATCATTGCTATTAGCATCTATGGAAGCATTCAAATTATTCTTTTTGTGCAAGGTCCTCAGTTCAATCCCCAGCACCAAAAACAAAACAAAACAAAACAAAAAAACAAAAACAAAAAAAAAACCCTTCTTGTCCTTCTATGGATGAACTGGAAAACACCTATGGCATTTATACAATGGGATATTATTCAATGCTGGAAGAAAATGAGCTATCAAGACAAAGAAGAAACTTAAATGCATACTGCTAAGTAAAAGAGCCAATCTGGGAAAGCTACACAATTATATGGTATTATGGGAAAGGAAAAATTATGGAAACACTAAAACTATCAGTGGAGAAGGGAGGGAGAGATGAATGAAGAGGTACATAAGGGATTTTTAAGGGAGTGAAACTATACTTCTCTATGAAATTGTAATGGTGGATTTACATCATTATATTTGTCAAAATCCATAGACTATACAGCACAAAAAGTGAACCCTAACATAACCAGAGACTTTAGTTAATAATAATGTCAATAATGTATCATCAATTCTAACAAATGTACCACAACAACAAAGATATTATTAGGGGAAATTGGAGGAGTGGCGAAGGACTATGTAGGAATTCTGTAATTTTCACTAAACTTTTTTCTGAAAACTCACAAATGCTCCAAAAAAGCCCTTTAATTAAAGTCTCTCAAAAAAAGAAGGAGAGTGGCATGGCAGATCCTGAAAGGTATCTGATTAACATGGCTCAAAAGTATTTTCAGTATTCATAATTTCAATTCAAAATCTGGAAATCTGACTTAGTAAAATAAACATGGTGAACACAAAAATGTTTATTACATAATTGTTTATTATAGGACTTAATTGTCTAACATTAAGGGGGCAATAAAATAAATTATGTTGCATCCAAACAATGGACTCCTGAGAATTCTTTTAGAAGATTCTTATAAAAAGCATTTCATATGATGGAGAAAGAAGAGGATGGGAAGGGGACACAAAAAGAATTATGATGTGTTATGTACATGTACCAAGTCCCCATGACTAATGTAATCTTATGTACTGCAAACATGTACTAATAAAACTAATTTTTTTAAAAAAGCAAAACTGTTTATTGCCAAGCAAAATGGGATATTGAAGCATGTTTTCCATGCCTTAGGAAAGGACAGCAAGCCTGAGATAGTCACAGTTCCCAGGTGACTCCTGCTGGTATTCTGCCCCCACTCCAGCTCCACTGTGTCAGCCAAGCAGCTAAGATCTGCCTTTTTTCCTCCTTGAAGCTAGTGATACATCTTAGATATTTACACTGAATAAATTAAAACTTTTAAACTAGAGGGGCCACTGTTTAATTTATGAAAAATACTTACAATTTACTGCCAAGTGGAAAATAAAGCAAGTTTATAAGATAAAATCACACTATTTAATTTATAAGAAAAATGTATGTATAGAAGTTTATTTTGTTGTCTCTATACATCTCTCTGCCATTCACCTACCTATCTTTGAAGAGAAAGAAAAAAGTAAAATCACACCAACATGTTAATTTGAGTTCTTTTTAATTAGGTTATAAGCAGTTACTATTGTTTTCTTTTTTGTTATGTGCATTTTAAATAAATTCTATACGTAATACTTTGTTGCATTTGTAATGAGAAAAATACAATGCAATGGTTAAGAAAAACATTTCTAGAGTCATCCTATCTAGCCCTTGAGAGAGTTAGCTTGCCTTTGTAGGTCTCAGTTTGCAACTCTGCTGAGTGAGAATAATAGCTATTTTGAGAGATAAATGTTACGCATTTAACATAGTTCCTGATGCACAATAAGTTAATAAATATTTAATATCATTAACATATTGTTATCAACATAAAAGGAACTGAGAATTAAGGGGAAGATCAAAGATCATTTGCTTCTATTGAAAAATTACATTCAGGACTGAGAAGGGGTAGGGAATAGGGTTAGAAATCCCCTTAATTTCACAATAAAACAATTTTGGACTTCTGATTATGAGAAAATAAAAATTACAAAGCAAATTAAGACAACAATCTCCAAACAAATACAAGCAGTCATGAAAGAGTAGGCAGGAGTCTCTGGTGCTTCAGTTACTCAGTGACAATTAAGCACAAACATTTGAAACACTCACTTCAAAAATCTAACATCTTCAATGCAGGGTAATATAATACTGAACTTTGTAAAGATGTCAGCTTCACCAGATATTATAAATATGACTGCAGCTTGCTCTTTGTGAAATTTTCTTGTAAAAATAATTTCATTTCACTAATTATTTCAAAAAATCAAAATATTACTAAAAATACTCAATTGTTTGTTTAAATTATAGCACTATGTTTTACAGCATTTCTTGATATGCAGCTCCTCAAAACCATTAGGCAAATGCAAGAAAACAAAGTAGGCAATAAAAATTTTAAAAAGAGCTGAGTAATCAGCTTTGTGAAATGACAAAAATAGCACATTTTAAAGTTATTAAGACCTAGTATCAAATCCCAAATTTCCACATAATAGTATCTATTGAGTGCTTGTTGTACATAAAGTCCTCTTCTATATACATCTATAACTCTGCAATCTTGGTCAAGCAACTTAATCTTTCTGCACTTTGGTTTTCTCGATTGTAAAATAGGAATAAAACATCTCATTTTCAGTGTTATTTTGAGCATTCGAAATAAGCTTATAATCATCTGTGTTAATATTTGAAAAAAAAGAACTGCATTAGTTTCTGACAGGAATACAACATATGGGATTTTCACTGCAGATGAAGAAAAGGAAGAAGAAGAGGAAGAGGAAGAAGGAGAAGGAGGAGAGGAAGAGGAAGAGGAAGAAAATAAGAGGGAGGAGAAGGAGCAAATGCTTATGGTGAGGATGATAGGAAACACATGGTACTAACTATGACCAAACACTATTCTAACACTTTATACACATAAACTAATTTAATTCTAAGAATATTAAGAGTTTACAAGAGAAGCACTAGAGAATGGTGGGGCCAGAGTAAAAGGCAAACAATCTAAGTCTAGACTTCGTGTTCTTTCTTTTAAATGTTTTTATTAGTACAACTTTGCAGTACATGATATTTATATCATAGGGAGTAGATACATGTACTTACCATATCTTGATTCTTTTTATTCTCCTTCCCCTTCTCACCCTCCTTGCTCCCTCCATCTCTAGATCCCCTTTTCCTATTTTGTTTATTAGTGTTAATTTAGTTCATAGTTCATGTTTGCATTAGACTATAGAGCCATGCTATTACCATTGGTCTGATCCTATATATGGAACTATGTTGTCGATCTATTTGGAAATGAATTGTTTTTGAGTGCCTTTATAGGAAAAAAATGATATATTTTCTGTGAGACACGATTTTGCCCACTATTTCTATTTTTTCATATGCTTTATGAACTGAACCAAGATCCAGAAAGAGGGAAGAAACAGAAAAATTGAGTTCTAATTGCCTTCAAATGCTGTATCACCTGTTTGGAGTTGATTTTGGAGGAAAAGGCAAGTTTAGAATTGCCCTAATTATAATAATTAATCGTAACAGCTTTCATTTATAAAATATGCACAAACCATTTAAAAAACTTTATATTCATGATCTCATTTAATTTTTGTGACTGTCAGGTAGTATCAGTATTCTTAGTTCATATTACAGATAGCAAAACTAAGGCTTTGAGTGGGTAACTAACTTGTTCAAATCTGTACAGCTAATAAATAGAAGAATGAGGATATAAATTCAACTCTATTTGACCAAGAGGCTCTTAACATTACCCTCTTTCATTATCATGCTAGGTCAATGGGAGTGATGTCTGTGTATCAATTAAAGACAGGTATGGTTGTGAGAAACAGAAAAAATACATCTTGAAAACAGTAAGAGTTTATTTTTCTAACAAATAAAAGAAATCTTGAATTAGGTTCTCCACACATGGTATGGCGATTCTTTTACTTATTGTGTAGTCTGTGAGTCACTTTCACCTTCTGTCAAGACCCATAGAACCTACTTCATCTTTCCTGTCTTCCATCATATCTCAGGATCGGATTCAATGGCTGATTTTACAGATTAATGCTATTATTAGTCCCTAGAACAGTTCTGAGTAAGGGCTCAGTAAATATTTGCTGAGTTAAATTAAAAATATATGTGCATCAAAATGTTAAACTAGTAACCAAAGAATTATAAATTAAAATAGCCTGAGATACCCTTCTCTAGTCATCAAACTGATGAAAACGTAAATGCAGTACAAAGTTAAGTGCTGCTGAAAATGCAGGGAAAACAGTATTCATCTATACACCAAGTGAAAATGTAGATTAGTAATCCAAACCAATAAGACAGCCTGTATAAAAATTTAAAATATGTATAACTTATAAACTAATAATCCCTTTTCTAAGCATATGACTTGGAAAAAAATCTCATGTATGAGGAGAAACTGCCACATATAAATGTTTAATCAATCATTATTTGCAATGTCAAAAGAAATTGGAAACTTGCTTAATGTCCATCCATAGGGGAATGGGTTTATAATGCAGTATATACAAATGATGGAATTATAGCCAAGTGATTGAGACTTCTTGCTCACTATACTCAATTTTGTTTTCCTTTTGGACATACCTCCTTTGCATTCAGGTGGGGTAATGTGATTATCTCTGGCCAATAACTTATGAATGGAAGTGACATTTTTTCATTGAAGCATTTAATTGCTTGTGTGAGACCCTCTGGCTTTCTTTCCTCTTGCCTCTTGGTAACTGAAGACCTTGTTTTTCGGATGGTGTGCTGCCAAAATTTCTTCAGGTTAGGATCTGGATGAATTTGTAAAGCCAAACATGAAACTGACCTATGCCAGTTATGTACCAGGAGTGAGAAATGAACATTGCTGTGTTGAATAACTAAAATTTGAGAGGACTCAGAACTTCCTTATTAATAAAAAATAAGAGATATACAATAAAGCATAACTAGTTTTATTTCTCAAAATTACTGTTCTTAGAAATATAATACTGAGATAAAAAGGCAAATTTCAGAATCAAATTATTATACATAAGGACGATGTTTTGTGAATCCAAAACCATACACAAGCAGAAAAACTTAGATGGTTTTATATGGATCAAAAATTAATGATATAAAATAATATGAAACTGAATATCATTAGTGTATGGGAATGAGAAACAAGATTTGTTTTCTGAATAAAAGTCTTTTAGCTATATCAATTTACTAGGTTGAATGATGGCCCCCTTAAAATTTATGTTCACATCCAAATCCCTGGAATCTATGTATATTACCTTATTTGGAAAGAATCTTAGTAATTAAATAAAAGACCTTAAGATGAGATTATTTAGTATTATCTGATGAGTCCTAAATCCAACAAATGCCATTATAAGTAACACAAAAGGAGAAGGCACTGTAAGGATGAATGCAGAAATTGTAGTAATGTGGCCACAAAGCCAAAGAAGCTATACAAAAAAATGCATACAGCTATCAGAAATGGCAAAGCAGTATTTTTTCCTATGGCCTCCAGAGCAAATGCAGCCCTGCAGAGGCCTTGATTCCAGGCCTTTGGCCTCCAGAATTGTGAGAGAATAAATTCTTTTCCTTTTCAGCTCATTTTGTGGTAAATTTTTGCACTAGCCTAAGAAAACTGAATCAATTTGTAATGTCTCTTTTCTTAAACAAAGCAAAACAAGAAAATGAGAAGCAAATATGAAAAAAATATTAGTGGTTGTTAATTCTAGGTTGGAAATGAGTATGCTTGTCAGGTTGTTCTTTTTTCTCCTATACCTTTTAAATTTATCACATCAAAGTGGAGTTATTTTATAAAAATTATTTGTTGTAGTTTTCTCTTTATTCAGTTAATTGTTCTGTAATTACTTAACACACTAAAGATAGAAGTATCTGTTAACAATGGCTGACCTTCATGGTAACTTTCAAGCGCCTTCATAATTGACATCCACCCTGTCCTAGTCTTAATTCCTCTACTCTACAGCTTCTGACATGCACCTTATGTTCTAGGTTGTCTATAGTTGGCCATATTGGGCTTTTTAAAGTCTGTACCTTTCCTTCTGCTGTTTCTTTCATCACCGTGGCCTAGAGAACCCTGAGTACATCTAGATCTGATTCAAAAGATCTACCAATGAGGCTCTCTCTACCTCCACAGACACAACTTATTAGTTCCTTCTTTGTGCCCTGATAGCATTAGTTAATAATGGGTCCTAATATTTTTCACTTCATCTAGTTGCTTTTTTTTCTTTATTAGTCTTTGCCTATAAAAGTAGCATTAGTCAAAACTCTAATGAATTACAAGTATATCTTCAATAACTAACACAACAACACAACGCCTAGCACAGACTAAGAGTCCAGTGAATGCCAGCTGGATAAATGAATGAATGACGAATTCAGTAATTCAGTGTTCTTATCCTGAGCTTCTATTTATTTCAATCATTAAAAGCTATTGCCAAATTAAAGCAGAGACCTACAGGAAAACAAAAAGTAATTTCTCTCTAAGAACATTAATCAGAATGTGCCCACTTAACCTCTCTATCAGGGCAGAAAGAAAAAGAATATAACTGCAGAGTTTCTTTAACAATATAAAATTTTTCTTGCTTATTAGCTATGAGTCTCTGCCCACTGCATTGGGTTCAGACCAGGAACCAGGACTCTAATGGCATTCTGAGTCTTCTGAGTCATTCTCCAACACAGGTTGGCACTCTTTTCAGCAGTCTGACCCAGAGTTAATATTCTGAGAAACCTGAGCCACTTTTACTTACTATATGAAAGAGAGGGGAGACAAGAGACAGAGAGAGGGAGAGGGAGAGGGAGAGGAAGAAAGAGAGAGAGAAATCATTTGTCTCCTTTTGGCACCAAGGTTACCTGGAAGGTTTCCCAAATCCCCATGTTTAGAAGGCATAAGAAAGTGCTGATTTTGTTTCCTTAAAATAAAGTGAGCTCTAGAAAAGTAAGTATATAGGATTGACCTTAAGCTTCTATTATCATGTCCACTCTAACTTTAACATTCCAATCTCCTTCTTATAATAACCCTTGTGATTATATTGGGCCCACCACTATGGTTACTTTTATATTAGGCCTACCATTATGGTGACAATTAAAAGAATTCATTTAAAGTAAATTTAATTGTGGTTTAAGGTAGGCAGATGTCTTCATCTACTTGTGTGGTTACAATAAAATACCGGAAATAAATAAAAATTTATTTCTCCTAATTTCTGGAAACTGGGAATCAAAGATCAAGGCATCTAGTTAGTGTTGTTCTCTGCTCCCAAGATAGAACTTTGTTGTTGCATCCTCCAGAGGGGGAAAAAGACATGTCCTTACAAGGTGGAAGAGGCAGATGTGCAAGAGGATTCTCCCTTGTAAACTGTAACCTCAAGGCTCTTTACAGGGGTGCTAACCCAGTACATGTGAGTAAAGCCCTCATGACTTAGCAGCTAAAGACTAAACCTCTTGATAGTGTTGGATTGGGGATTAAGTTTTAATATAAATTTTGGAGGGCACACAATCATTTAAACAATAGCAATAGCCATTTAAAAAGTGGTTAAAACTGAGTCTTAATTGCTTTGCCCCCATTTCTGGGTAACATGGGAGGTCATGGTTAGAGAGCACATCAGGACAATCTACTTGGCAGAGGAGGTAGAGGATAGCTAAGGGCAGACAGAGTTCCCCAGCAGCTAAGGAAAGTGATATATTTCTGATTTGAAAAAAGGAGCCAAATATTCCACAGCAATAAGTCCAAATGTCTCTCAGCAAACTGTCCCCCAAAGAAGGAAATTAACAACAACAAATATAAGGGGAAAGGAATCATGGAAAGAAATGAACCCATGTGTAATCACCTGGGAACCT